CCTTTGATTTATATTAAGGACATGGTTTATTATCTCCTACTGAAATCAAGGGGGGCTAAAACTGCTTTGCTTTCGCAGGATCATTCTATTGCGGATCACATCACAGAAATAAAATTGCACATTAAAACAGCTCCACACTGTAATGGAAACAGGCAATGGTGTTACTTATGTCACAAACAATGACACTCTCATTTCAAGCAATAGTTTGATGCTTGAATATGGGTTTATCTACAATTAATTTATATACATACAATGTGTACACACACAATTTCTTTTGAGCCTTAAATCATCAAATGCTCAACAATTTACTGTTGAGAAATCAAGTAAGCTGTGTCCTAAAGGTATGTCTGTAAATTAAGTGTATACCTGAAGGAACGTCTCCACCCCCATCGTTCAGCCCGGACACCGAGGTCCAGGACTGAGGGCCTTCTGGCAGTTCCCTCATTGCGAGAAGTGAGGTTACAGGGAACCAGAGGGCTTTCTCGGCAGTGGTGCCCACCCTGTGGAATGCCCTCCCGTCAGATGTCAAGGAAATAAGCAGCTATCTTATTTTTAAAAGACATCTGAAGGCAGCCCTGTTTAGGGAAGTTTTTAATATTTAATGCTGTATTGTTTTTAACACTTTATTGAGAGCTGCCCAGAGTGGCTGGGGAAACTCAGCCAGATGGGTGGGGTATAAATAATAAATTATTATTATTATTATTGCTTATAAATGGGCATAACCCATTTGTGACTTTTTTTCATGCTGTGAAGAGGTACAGTTTCTACCAGCCTGGCATGCTGTAGCAGTTGGTGAGATGGGATCACTTCTCACCTGACCTCTGGTTAGTTGTACTGCTGCTACTTACTAGGAGATAGAGGGGGAGTTAGCGGCAAGGTCAGCATGGTGCAAACGTACTGGCAGAAGTACCAGATTGACTGTGTTTGATGCATTTGCACCAGTCCAACATCACTGCCACCTTGACTTCCTCCCCTGTAAGCAGCAATGTAACCAAACACAGATCAGGTGAATAGCAGCAGTCCAGCAAACTTTTCACTACTGCTAAGAAGCAGTCACTTTCTCTGAGGCTTCAATCCTACACACACTTACCTGGGAGTAAGTGCCATTGAACTCAATGGAACTTATCGTGATGTGAATCACAGGATTACACTATTAATATGTTACACTGTTTGGTCCATGGCATCCACTGTTGTCAGTCTGAAAAAGTATTCCTAAAGCTCCTATGTGCTTGGGGTGGGGGTGGGGCTTGACATCCAAACCAGTAATATATATTCTATTTCCCTAAATTTCTGCTTTGTATGTAAAACTTATCACTCCAGTTGAGGGGTGTGAACGAGCTGCTCCTGCCAAACAGGTTGTCAGGGTACTGTCAGCTGACAGTGCTGAGCAGGTGTTCCTCTCCCTGCCCACTGAGTCAGGGAGAAGAGTGCCATCTCATCCCTCCAATCAGGATAATACAGGAAACTCTATCCCACCCCTTGTGATGACCACCAGTGCAGGCAAGTAATGGGATCAACCCTGTTTCCTTCCAAATCAGCCCATACTTATTTGCTTCTTTCAAAATCACTATCAGCAAGAGACATTATGGCATAAGTGAAACACACCCAACTTTAACCTATCTCTGCTAAATAAAGATCTGTGTTTTCCTTCTGTTAAAAAGGGGGTGGTCTTCAACTACTACTGAGAGCAGACCCACTAAAATTAATGGACCTAAGTTAGGAATGGCCATTAATTTGAATGGGTCTACTCTGAGTTAATTGAACACACCCCAAATATTCTTAATAAAAAGATATGGTAACTCAGACTCAAACTAATCTTTCTATGTATCCTTGGGGAAAACACTTCCGGCTGCATTTCATTTATAACAGAAGATAACATTTACTGCTTACATCCCCTCCTTCTCAATATAAAACAAATGCCTGAGAATGTGTTTTGATGTCCCACTGAATGGCAATCAATTGTTAGTGATACAAAATAGTATCACCATGCTATTGGTGTAGCAGAAAATGTAGAAGTTATATTGTACACTGCAACTTCACGGCCAATACTTACAACCTTGTTGACATACACGTGTATGTGTGTGTGTGTGTGTGTGTGTGTGTGTGTGCGCGTGTGTGCGTGTGTGTGTGCATATATAACATTAATACATAAATGTTGCTGAATTACAATGCCTATAACCCCTGCCCTCTGCCCACACTTTCTGGAGCTAATAGGATTTGTAGTTCAACAATATCTGGAGAACCAAAACAAACATAAACTGTGATAAAAGGTATATCTGGTGCTTCCTGCTTGGAGGCTACCATTGGCAGGGAAGTTCAATGTCTGGCAGCAAATTTAAACATGCATAAGGGAGACAAAAAATGAGGACTAGATCCCAACAAAGAAACAAAATATAGATCAACACAAATGCAACTTTGTCCATGAATTATAATGATTACTGAGATAAATTATGTTGAGGAGCTTTGAACATTTGAAATGCACAATATGAGCAAAAAAAAAAGTATTATAATGAATAACTAATAACTAATGTAGTGAAATGCAAAGGTTTTATGGGCATAGATCATTTTATTAATATTTATGCAGAGGGACAGAAATAGCCAAAATATTTATTTAAAACTTTTTTTTGCAGTTGTTGTATTTTCATGCCAGCTACTAGTTTTGAGAGCTTGGAAGAACCCATCATGTAAAAGTGTCATGCTGGGCACAGAGGTTTGTAAAGATATTGGCAACGGATACCAGTTAGGAGAGTCAGTAGTTTTACACATTGACAAACAATGAAACAAACTTCAAATGAGGAAACACTCAGGATTCTAACCAATGGATACATATGCATCTGAAAAGAGAACCAATAAACGATTGACATATAATCATGGAGGTGCCAAACTGAACCGTTTATTTAGATTTTGCAAATTTCAGAAGCTTGGAGTGAGCAGACCAAATGGAAATGAAAAATACGAAAACACAAGAGTGGTGGTGAGTCACGATGGGACAATGAAATAAAAGTGAAGCACTTCTTTTACATATCGGCTTCAGTGTCCTGAATCTTCCAAGAGATCCTTCATATGCTACGAAGGAGGGGGGGGAACCTGCTGCTTCTCTCCCCCCTTTGCTTCTATTTTAAAGTGGAGATCAATAATTTTGTCTAGTAATGCAAGACCTGTAAAGTCCAGAAGAGTATTAGACTCCCAAGTCTCGTTCAAGGAAAGATTTGTGTGTCTCACTTTCCACATTATAGTAGAGGTAGAGAAAGAAAAGCGCATGGTTCATGCTTTTGCTTTTACTACTTCATTGTTACACATGAAGCAACTCATAGCGAAAGGGAGTGGCGAAAACATCAAAACACTTCTCTGAACTACTGGAGATCTGTATCAGAACCAATGAGTTCTGTTGACTTACCTCAGCATGTTTTAGATGGCATGTCTCTATAAAGTCATATCAACATATTGGCTTTTTCATTCATTTTTAACCTGTTGAATTAGTGATTTGAATCCTCTAACATGTGTCCCAACTGAGGATTTCTCAAAATGTGATGAGTCCGTAAGTTCACTGCAGGAGGATGTACCAAATTACAAATCTGATACCTGTTAGGTCATTCAAAAATCTGGTTACAAAAAATATGCCAAGTATGGATCTTTCTTGCTTTCTTCTTGTGAGTTATCACCAGTATCTGAGATTCACAGCAGTTATCCCTGTAACATGGAGGTTCTATTTGGCTATTCTGACCTATCCACTATAAGTCTGTTTAAACTTTTTTAGAAAGCAATATAAGCTGATGGCAGTGAACTGCAATCGTAACTGCACACTGAATGAAGGAGTACTTCCTTTTGTCAATCCTAAAGCTTCTGCCAATCAGTTTCAATGGGTGGCTCAGAGAGCTCCAATTATGAGACGGGGGCAGCAACCACAAACTCTACTTTGCACGTTGTCCCTGTACAATCGCATTGCAAGAACTAGTGGAATCTGCATTTAAGTTGGATAGGTCTTGGCTACCTCTGCCAAATTTCATCTGGCTTTTGCAGTGCAGATCTGATACAAAAAAGTAAAAGTCTCCAAGGGCAGTCTTAATGCTTGCCAATAGCTGGTGAGAGAACAGAAAACTCTGCCCTTGCTATATTTTCCATTATCTTCACAGAGATAAAGGGAAGGACCTCTGTCCCCCATCCCTCCCCATTTTTCAGGCATTACAGAACAAAAGGATGCCACATAAAGTCTCAACATTATGTAGGATGGGAGTGACTAGGCTCGGTAATTAACTTGGCAGTACTGTGAAAATCAACATTTTGGGGAAAGCTCATCCAGTCACCCCCACCAAAAGGGGCGGAGGTAAAACCATGAGATGCTGATTTGGAGCTTTCAGAGGAGGTGGGAGAGTTGGGGAGATAATGAGGATGGAGGAGGCTGCTTTAGCACAAAAGGGTATTCTGTAGAGCAGCAAACACAGGGTGGGTTGCGAGATCTGGAGGGGCTGAGGACTGGAGAGCCACTCACTTTCTTGCCCCGATAGGGGAAAGTAGCAGAGCAGAAAAGGGAGAGGAAATGAAACGGGAGATGGGGATGAGAAAGGTGGAGAGCGGCAAAGACAGGAGGAAGGGAAATGGCAGGGATGTGCAAGGAGTTGGTACCCAGGCGGGGGAGGGATGCTCACGCAGCACCATCCTCCGCTATGGGTGGGTGGGGAGAGGAGGCTGAGGAGTCAAATATGGCTGCAGAGAAGTGGGGTCCCGATCCCCAGGACCGCTGGGTTGGGACGTTCAGAGGAGGCGAGGGATGGCTACTGCGCCATCCAAATGTTGGTGCCAAATGCTTCTGGGGAAGGGGAGGAGGAAGGGATGGCGCAGGAGGGGGGCGAGATGCGGGAAGATGCTTGCTTAGGACTCGTGGACGAAGGCTGGAGGCAGCGGAGGTGGATGGGAGGATGGAGCATGGAGTCATGGTCGGATGGAGGGTGCAGGGAGCAGGCAGGCAGGCGGCGCAGCAGCCCCTCGGCTCCCGCTCTCACCCGTGTCCTGCTCGGCCAGGAACGCGTCTTCCTCCTTCCTGGAGCGCAGGCAGCTCTCGGGGGCGCCGCCGCCACCGCCGGGCTCCTCCTCGGGCAAGCGGGGAAAGCTGGTGATGCTCATGTAGTCGACGGGCGAGTAGGCGCCCAGGCTGCTCTGCTGGCTCGCCTCCTTCTCGGAGGCACCGGCCGCAGACGACGCTGCAGACGCGGAGGCTGCTGATGCCGCCGCCGCCGCCATCCTGCCTGCCTGCTTGCCTGCGCCTCCCGGGCCGGGCAGCCGCCGCCTCCGAGCCAAGGACCCCGCTCCGGAAGTGGCGGAAGGGAAGCCGAGAGGGAGGAGGAGGGCAGGGCGGGGCTTGGAGCCCAGGGACCGCCCACCTGAGCCACGGGGACCGTCGGGCTGGTGGCTGGTTATCTCTTTACTATGCCGTTTAATAGATTGAAGACTATCTCTAAATGGTGTACAGGAAACAGAAGCAACAACAGGCAAAATTATTATTATTATTATTATTATTATTATTATTATTATTATTATTATTATTATTATATATTTTAACTGAGCCTGTTGGGCTTGCCGATCAGAAGGTTGGTGGTTCGAATCCCTGCGACAGGGTGAGCTCCTGTTGCTCGGTCCCAGCTCCTGCCAACCTAGCAGTTGGAAAGCATGATAAAAAAGTGCAAGTAGATAAATAGGTACCTCTCTGGTGGGAAGGTAAACGGTGTTTCCATGTGCTGCTCTGATTTTGCCAGAAGTCATGCTAGACACATGACCTGGAAAAACTGTCTGCGGACAAACGTCGGCTCCCTCGGCCAGTAAAGTGAGATGAGCGCCGCAACCCCAGAGTCGTCTGCAATTTAAGTGTCAGGGGTCCTTTAAAGGTAAAGGTACCCCTGCCCGTACAGGCCAGTCTTGCCAGACTCTAGGGTTGTGCGCCCATCTCACTCAAGAGGCCGGGGGCCAGCGCTGTCCGCAGACACTTCCGGGTCACGTGGCCAGCGTGACAAGCTGCATCTGGCGAGCCAGCGCAGCACACGGAAACGCCGTTTACCTTCCCGCTAGTAAGCGGTCCCTATTTATCTACTTGCACCCAGGGGTGCTTTCGAACTGCTAGGTTGGCAGGCGCTGGGACCGAGCAACGGGAGCGCACCCCGCCGCGGGGATTCGAACCGCCGACCTTTCGATCGGCAAGCCCTAGGCACTGAGGCTTTTACCCACAGCGCCACCCGCGTCCCCAGGGGTCCTTTACCTTTACCTTTTTAGAGCATACAGAAGATGATCATCTGAAAAACCCAGATTAAAATTAGTAAAATGTTTAAAACAGACATTGATAACTAAATTATATTTGCATTATTTAATAACTTGTTAAGCCCACCTGTCATCAACAAGCAGACCCAAGTGGGGGTAAAATAAAATTAAGATAAAAATCATAGTTCCATCAAATCATATGAGAGAAATCATTTTATTTTATTTTGATAAATGTATTTGGATAGGAGTGCTTCAAAATGAAGGGTTTCGTCCGTGCTATATAAATTACATATACTGTGACTGCAGAGCCGGCCCTACCAGCAGGCAGAGTGAGATCACCATCTCAGGCCACAGGTACTGGGTGTGTGTGAGGGGGGGATGGTGGCAACATATTAGAGGACAGAGCTGCATATACCATGCAGCTTGCCTTGTGCCCATCCTCAGGCATACCACTTGCTGAAAACCACAGGTGGGGAGAGTTGTGTTCATGTCCTACTTGCAAGCTTTCCACTGTGTTATGTGCTGAGTTGAATAGGATCCAAATGCAGCAGTCTGATTGGTTCTAGAACAATAAGATCCAAAATGCAGCAGTCTGATTGGTCCTAGAACAATGCAGCAGTATGATTGGTCCGCAGGAGCCACCCAATCCAGCTCCAGGTGGAAGTGAATCCGCAACCTGATTGGTCTACAGGAGAATCCAGGAATTAGCCAATCACGTGCGGCCCATTGTGTAAATATGTATATAATTTTGGGAAAACTTCCATTCCTCCTCACCACTATGAGCTGAATAAAGAGCATGAAATCCACACTCGACTCCGAGTATATTTCACACTGGCACCTTATTGGCCACTGTGAGAGCAGGATGCTGGACTACGGTGTTCTTATTAGCACCGTAATTGAGCATCCCCCATCCATCACTAATGACACAATATTGTATCCCCATGGAGCAGATGGACTGAAATGTTTCAAGGCAAGCTTTTTAAGTATACTGTAATGGGTTGCCTACACAAGTAGCAGTTATATGGCAGAATTGTTCCTGGATTGTACCATTTTGAACTGCAGGTGGGGGTGAGGAACTATCACATATCTGAGTGCTTCCCTGTTTTGTGGGGCAGGAAGGGATTCTTTTGTGTGCGCGTGCACACACACATGTGCACACTCCACTAACATATCAGAGAAATGGGCAGGGTATTGCCTTTCTTCCTCTCATCTAGATTTCCATGCACTGGGGGGGGGGGGGAGTTCTTGATGTTTGTGGTTGACTCTTCAATTAAAATTGGATGTGTGCTCCAGCAATGGAGAGGAAGAATGCACAGCTTTAAAAGAACTAAATTTTAATGGTTCACCTAGTTGCTACAGTGGTAAGGGACAGTCTTCGAGGCGATGGCCACCACTTTGGTTTTTTAAAGGGTTACTTGACTGCTCCTGCTCAGTGGCGTAGCATGGGTTGTCAGCACCCGGGGCAAGGCAAGTAATTTGCGCCGCCTAACCCGTGGATTTGCGCCCCCTAACCCGTGGATTTGCCCTAACCCCAGATGTTGCGCCCGGTGCAGCCGGCCCCCCTGCACCCCCCACGCTATGCCACTGCTCCTGCTTGAGTCCTATATCTAGTCAAAACAGTTCTTTAACTTTGTTGATCAATTAACTATAGACAAAAAGAACTGCATGTCCCCACTGGATCCCCCTAATACTAAACAAATAGACAATAAAACAGTTCTGAGATTTTAATCATATAATTGCAAACATAGATGGGTTGATGTGTTATAAGAAAAATAAATTGGATCCTGGGTTTCTGTCACAGAACCTTTAGAGCATTTTCAAATGTAGGCACTCAAAATGCATTTGATATTTTTTTAAAGTGCACAGTGTTCTGGGTTTGTTTGTTTATTTACATTTTCTAGCTTGCCCTATCTCAGAGGCAGGATGCAATGGATTTAAAATATGCATCTTAGCTGCCCAATTAAATGCCCAGGTAATGTGATGCCGAAAGGTAAAATTCTACACTTAATGCCAGGCCTTAACTGCTTGCCCAATTAAAGGTTTTCCTTTTTTTAAAAGGGCAACAACAAATGCCCCTTAATTTATTCTATAAGTTCCCCCAACTCTCTGGAGCACATTTGGGGAGAGTGTGAGGTACACATAGGGGGAGGAGAGTGGGAAAAACTTGTTGCACTAGCAGGAATCCTTGTGCTAAGTTAGTGCAGGCATAGGCAAACTCCGGCCCTCCAGATGTTTGGGACTACAATTGCCACCATCCCTAGCTAACAGGACCAGTGGTCAGGGATGATGGGAATTGTAGTCCCAAACATCTGGAGGGTCAGAGTTTGCCTGTGCCTGAGTTAGTTGAATACTGTCTCAAGTGCTTCCCACATACCCCACTAGCCCAATGGCACAGGAGTGCATTAGGTGTGAGGCCATGAAACACAGGAGAAATCTCCATCAACATTTTTAAGGGGAAGAGTTTCACTATATATGTAAATACTCCACCCTTCAATGACCCAGTTCTCAATTTGTGACACGATTATGAGTTACTGTAGATGCGCCCTGTAGAATATAACGCACCAGCTGTGGTGAATGAGGCAGAATAAGCCTATTGCAAATAATAATAATTTACTGAGCCAGCAACGTATGTGTGTGTGTTTAGGTTGCGTAACTGCAAATTCTGTGAGGTCACATCTATGTCAAGTTGACCTGGGAGTTCCTTGTTAGTCATAACTTTGTCTTGCAACTAGGATCTTCTAATGGGGAAAAAATGTTAGTATCTCCTTTTTTAACATTTACAGTACACACACCTTTGAAATGAGGATTAGATGCGTCAGAACTGGGGGATGGGGGGATGGGACCAAAGGGTCAGGAGCCTAGGTCAAGTGGGATCAAGGAGAAAGAAAAATGCCCTCGAAGCTGCCCAGAAATGCCAGCTGCTGATTCCAGCCTCAGTACAGATGGTCAATTTGTGGTTGCTTCTACATGACCTCATTATTGAGCATTCTCCCTGATTTGTTTGTGCAAGGTTTGTTAGATAACATTGGCTATTTATTGAGCATACACTCTGATTAGTTTGTTGTTGTTTTTTAATAAATTTTTATTGGTTTTCCAAACACAAAATAAAAACAAACAATACACAATACACAAACATACCAACATATAAACATGTATAATTTCATAATCTTATTTTCATACACCTTACTTCCCGGACTTCCCCATACCTCCCCTTTTCTGCATCCTTGTTTTACCTTTCTTCAGCAACTCCTCCAATTAACTAATTATTCAATTCAATTTCTTTTGAGTTCTTCTTTAACTTATTGATTACAGCTGCAATTCTCTATTTCCCAATTCCTTGACATCTTAACACTCCTCAATTTTACAACAATTTTTTAGATATATTTTAAATTTCTTCCAATCTTCTTCCACTGTCTCTTTCCCCGGTCACGGATTCTGCCAGTCATCTCCGCCAGTCCCATATAGTCAATCACCTTCGTCTGCCCACTCTGATTAGTTTGCAGGTAGGTTATTTAACATTGCATCAAGCAATTGTTCTCCCACTATGTCCTGGCCATTTTCCCATCTCTTTTGTTATTGCACAAAGTCCAATTTTGTCAAGGGTAGGAGAGAAGGCTTGCTGTGCAAGAGCACCAAATCAACTTTTAATTGCGCTACCTGAATCTGACTTTATTTGATTGAATCCCACCTGGAAATACAGTAGTAATAGCCCAGAAGCAACCTTTAATGCAACAGGGTGATTTCTGTTTTGATTTATGATGGCACTAATCTTTATCTTTCAATAGGAGTGCAGTCACTGTACAGTACTGGTGTAATAGTCAAGGCAGGTGGGAGCCTTGTAGTGAGGTTAGACTTGCAGAAGACAAAATCCTGTTTACTCCTTTAAGGTTACGGAGGGGTAGATAGTGCATGGAGACACACACACACACACACACACACACACACAGTTAAGCACTTTGCACATTGGAAGTGCTTATTTGTTGCCACACTTTAGAAGAGCTGTGGGTCTTCTTTCCAAGGGCGTGACCAGAAGTTAGATATGCCAATGTTGTTCTGTGTCTTAAAATCCAC